TGGATATTCTATTATAGTTCATAGAAAGAAAGAAAGAAAGAAAGAAAGAGAGAGAGAGAGAGAGAGAGGGAGGGAGGAAGAAAGGAAGGAAGGAAGGAAGGGAGGGAGGGAGGGAGGGAGGGAGGGAGGAGGGAGGGAGGGAAGGAAAGGAACAAAGAAGGAAAGAAGGAACGGAACGAAGGAAGGAAGGAATAAAGGAAAGAAGGAAGGAAGGAAAGAAAGAGAAATATGTGGCCTCTGCTACTAAATTGATTTCACAACCTCTAGTGATTATTCAGACCAGCAGTCTGCAAAATACTTTAAGAGCACATACCTTGAAGTCAGACAGATGTGAGCTGGAAACCTAGATGTACCTGTTAGCAACAGCCTGCTCAGAAGCCCTTAGTCTGTGCAAGCCCATGTCTTCCTTTGTAAAATAAGGACAATAGCCCAGGCTAGGGATTGTTCCATTGGCCAAGTAAGAATGTAGGTAACACAGAGTACAATGACCAGTAAATGGAAAGGGTAGCTTTTATGAAGAATGATAAAGTGGGAGGGGCACCTGTGGCTCAGTCCCTTAGGCTTCTGACTTCGGCTCAGGTCATGGTCTCAAGGTCTGTGGGTTTGAGCCCCATCCTGACAGCTCAGAGCCTGGAGCCTGCTTCGGATTCTGTGTCTCCCTCTCTTTCTGCCCCTCCCCCTGCTTGCACTCTCTTTCTCTCTCTCTAAAAATAAATAAGCATTTTAAAAATTAAAAAAAAAAAAGAATGCTAAAATGAGATGAGGAGATGCAGTACTAGGGGATTCTGGGAGTCCCTAGGCAGCCAAGCCTCATCCACCCAATGTGGATAGAAAATCAGGAAGCACAGAAGGCGTTGCCATCACCTTCTCACCTTCTCCAAGCCTCATCCACCCAATGTGGATGGAAAATCAGGAAGCACAGAAGCCGCTGCCATCACCTTTTCACCTTCTACAGCCCACACTAGTGCCCACTCAGGTACGCATCTGAGGGAGTCAGGCTTGGATTGCTGCAACCTCCTCCTCTCAACCTGGGTTCATGTCTAGCATGTCACAGGCAAGTCCAGAAATCCACAGGAACACTCGCACAACAGAAAACGGATTTGACCTGTTGCTCACCTCCAGGGAGAGCTGTAGTTGACATCTCAGCTGGGCATCAGAGGGAACTGAGGATTTGTTAAATATTCTGAGACTCACTGGAGTTACTGGCTCAGAATCATCCGAAGAAAGACTTTGGAATCTAAATTTAAAATACACACACACTCGCACATACACACACCCTAAGTCATTGTAACAGAGCTGACCAAGCTGACAGATCAATAGTAAAGTAGAGCCTTTAGGGTTACTCTTATATCATCGTAGAAGAGTGTAAAATAAATATTTGCTTTAATACTGGGAAACCCTCAGTGCATTCTTTGAATCCATCAGTTCATTTTATTGATAGGAAAACACACTGTACCAGAGGAGACAAGCATAGGTGAGTTGAAAGATCACAGAATTTGGAGAGATTAAGTCCCTTGACATCAGAAGTAGTAAGGATTACGTAGGATCACGTCAGACATTTAAGAGAAAACTTCAGTGGGTAGTGCAAATTTCAGACATTTATAAGAGCTATTGTTTGTCATTGAAAATGAATATAACACACTTCTGGGATTGAATGTCCACAAATCAGTTTCCCTAGTAACTATCAACTGGCTTTTTTTGAAACCTTATCCCCTCCCTGTTTGTATTAATATATACCAAAGGGCATATTTATTTGTCAGTAGCAATTTAATTACATTGAAATGTTTATACATTAAAGATTTTAAAATATGGATAATTTACATAGTTTTTATACCAGCAATAACTTAAGTAACACTAATCTGAAACTTTTAATTAATGTTGTATCAAAGATATATGTTCTCTTTGATTTCAATAGTAAGGTCTGTAGTGCGTGGAGATTTGTGGCAACAAAACTAAAAATTAATGTGATGTCCAATGCTCTATTACAACCATCTACACCCACAGAATAGTGTCAGATCACTTTATAGCACTGGCCAAAATGGTGCGTTGTCTCTCAAGTACATGGCTTGCAAGTTTTTAAAGATGATTCCAACCAGACCATTTTCCAGGAATAATTCCTTTAGTTGGGTGGTCATTGCCAACATAGAATCTTTGTTGATTGGCCAATTACCCAGACAAATCCATCTTTGAGAGATCTTGCAAAGAATGTCTTCAGAAGATGATGACTGAACTTGCCAAAGATCTGTGTCTGAGATGGAAATCTGAAATTGTAATTCAACCCAACATGTAACTTGTTTTCTTTTTTATGGAGCTCTGAGAAGCATGGGGCCATAATCATCCTGATGGAAACCATATTTGGTAGGTGGATTAGCCATTCATCAGCTATTGAGTAATAACAGGGTCTGGGTTTCTCTAATAATGAGAGTAGATATGTTATAATTTACACTTCAAATGTATTTCCCCATGTGATCAACGCTTGAATGTCATTTCTAACTCGTTTATTACAGTTAAATCCCGAAGAATGTGCCAAAGAACTCAACAACATGGCATATTCTGCAAAGTGTCCCTCCACTTCCAGTGATTTTATGGACCTCATCTCTATGTTATTTGAAAATTAATCCTTTTCCAGCTGTCTACCCTGACTATGTTTTGGGGTCCCCTAACCATTCCGAATACCCTGAATTCAAGGTATCTAAACTAATGGAGCAGTTGTCCAGGGAAAAGAGAAGCAACAGCCCCGCCCCCAACCCTTGGGAGCAGAAAGCAAAGGAATTATCCTAAAGAATTATTTAAAAACCCAGGTGCAGCAGACAGAAATAAAACCATGACTGCATAGATTGATGTCCCAGGGGTCCAAAATCTAACCCCAAATGGGCAATAATTTGTTTGGCATTAAACTAAACCAGTTTGATGAACTCAAATGCCCTCAGCTCAATAGGCAGGACTCTCCGAGGAGCCTGTGTTACTTCCCTCACTTAAGCGCAGATTTGTAATAAAAATCTTAGTGCCAGTGGCACGGTTTTTGGACATATAAGAAGCTAACCACTTGGAGAATCTTATTTGCGAGGTCAGAAAACTCCACAGCTAAAGATCGGTTTATAATTTACGAAGAAAATAGAAAGTTTTGTTTCTCTGAGTTGAAATTTGAAGAGCACGGCGAGAAATATTGCAAGTTTTTGGCAGAAAGCTTTGCGCTTTCTTCATATTTTGAGACCAGCGTGAAGCCTGAGGCTTCGGGGATCATTTTGCGAGAAAAACCGGGCGATTCGATGTAGACAATTTTGATATTTTTGGCATTTTTTGAGGTGTAACAAACACAACTCGGGATCCGAGAGGACACTCTGCGGCTGCCAGCGAGGCGGGCTGGACAGCGCACCAATCACGGCGCAGCTCCGCCCTATATAAACGGGAGGGCGCAGCGGCGCGGCCCGAGTCCCGGCCAGTGCCTCCTCTTCCGGCTCGAGTCGCTCTCCCCGCGCCCGCCTTCGACATGTCCGAGACCGCGCCCGCCGCGCCCGCCGCCCCGGCCCCTGCTGAGAAGACGCCCGTGAAGAAGAAGGCCCGCAAGTCCGCAGGCGCCGCCAAGCGCAAGGCGTCCGGGCCGCCCGTGTCCGAGCTCATCACCAAGGCCGTGGCCGCCTCCAAGGAGCGCAGCGGCGTGTCCCTGGCCGCGCTCAAGAAGGCGCTGGCGGCCGCCGGCTACGACGTGGAGAAGAACAACAGCCGCATCAAGCTGGGCCTCAAGAGCCTGGTGAGCAAGGGCACCCTGGTGCAGACCAAGGGCACCGGCGCCTCGGGCTCCTTCAAGCTCAACAAGAAGGCGGCCTCCGGGGAGGCCAAGCCCAAAGCCAAGAAGGCGGGCGCGGCCAAGCCCAAGAAGGCTGCGGGGGCGGCCAAGAAACCCAAGAAGGCGGCGGGGGCCGGCACCCCCAAGAAGAGCGCCAAGAAGACCCCGAAGAAGGCCAAGAAGCCCGCGGCGGCTGCAGGAGCCAAAAAAGCCAAGAGCCCCAAAAAGGCGAAAGCAGCCAAGGCCAAGAAGGCGCCCAAGAGCCCAGCGAAGGCCAAAGCCGTGAAGCCCAAGGCGGCCAAGCCCAAGACCGCCAAGCCCAAGACAGCCAAGCCAAAGAAGGCAGCTAAGAAGAAATAAGTTTCTTTGGCCTCCTGCTTAGAAGCTCAACAACCCAAAGGCTCTTTTCAGAGCCACCCACAAACCTCAAGGAAAGAGCTTGCTAACACTGTTCGAGGGGGCGTGGCGCGCGGGGGGGAGGGTGTCTCCGCCGAGGGGCGGTACCTCTACCAACACGTAGGGATTGCTTGCTCCCAACAAGGCTGACTGCGTGCATCCCCAGGAACTTCCTAAACACGCGGGGGCGGGGGGGTGAAATCTCTACACACCTACCAGACAGTTTTAAACTAACACCGACACTGACCCGTGCAGGGTAAGAAGTTTGGTAAGACTTCCCAGCCACTACTGCGACCTTCACGCTTATTTCCTAGGTGGACACGACCGCGTTCTATCTCCCGACGGGTCGAGAAGCGCAGCCCATGAGAGTTCCAGGTCACTAGAAAAATTAAGCTGACAATACGGACTTGCTGTCAGTGACCACTTACGAGCATCAGCGTAATAGACTTCACTGGTGCAGACCCCAAGCTCCATGCAGGAAGCCTTACTAGCCAGCAGGGAATGGTCTACACCCATAAACCGAAAGCGAGGATGTTAACTAGAAAAGTTTCACTTATCTGAAATCCAGCGCCATTCCTTTAACTCACTTATTTATAGTAGGTTTGGGCAGCCTACTCTAGGCCTTCTGATTGGCTTGGAACAAAGTAAGAACGCAGCCAATGACAAGCTAGACCTGCAAGTATCTTTTACATCCGCATTTGTGACGACACGCTAAAATTAATCCAATCGCGAAGGAAATCTTACTAACCTCATTTGAATACCGCGTCTATAAATAAACGTGGCTTTGTTGCTGCGAATTATTTTCCCAGTTCTTAGTTTCAGCGTTCCTACTTAACGCCACGATGCCTGAACCCACCAAGTCGGCTCCGGCCCCGAAGAAGGGCTCCAAGAAGGCGGTGACCAAGGCGCAGAAGAAGGACGGCAAGAAGCGCAAGCGCAGCCGCAAGGAGAGCTACTCGGTGTACGTGTACAAGGTGCTGAAGCAGGTGCACCCCGACACGGGCATCTCGTCCAAGGCCATGGGCATCATGAACTCGTTCGTCAACGACATCTTCGAGCGCATCGCGGGCGAGGCGTCGCGCCTGGCGCATTACAACAAGCGCTCGACCATCACGTCCCGGGAGATCCAGACGGCCGTGCGCCTGCTGCTGCCCGGCGAGCTGGCCAAGCACGCCGTGTCCGAGGGCACCAAGGCCGTCACCAAGTACACCAGCTCCAAGTGAACTTGCCAAGTAAGCGTCTTGTTACCCAACCCCAAAGGCTCTTTTCAGAGCCACGCATGCTTTCAATAAATGAGCTGTAATCCTCATTCTGAAAGCTATTTTCGGGTGTCTGGTGATACCTAAATCTAGCTGCAACTCCCAGCTTTTCAATTAGAGCTGTATAGAAAGGATTTGCAAGTTACCGGGTCAATAACCATACGTGCCATAAATTATGTGCTCACTTTGGACAAAAATGGTTCTATACATCCATTCTTACTTCAGTCACACAAAACTAGACAATTGGAAATGAAAATCCCAGTCCAGGTACACAGCTCTGACTCCCTGGGCTGGGCTGCAGATCGATGGACTTGGCCAGGACTGCTTACCCAGAGCACAAAAGAACACTTTGTTCTGCTCAGATTTGCTTCTTTTCCTTCTTAAGGGATAGATGTAATACTGAAAACAGCTGAAGACCATGTGAGTTGTCCCCGAAATTTTTCATGGACGTTTCTGCTTGGCCAGCTTTGCAGTTGCCCACATTTCTGCTTGCTCTGAGCAGCAGGCTGGGGAAGGCACGTCTCTGGGGGGTGAGGGTGACAGAGTCTGTGCTGTCTCCACAACCCACGGCCCGACAGGGAAGGGAAGCTGTCCCCGCTCTGAGAGGACTTCAAGTCCTGTCGGTCACTACAGCCTCTCCTAGAAAGTCCTACCTCATTTCCAGTCTTTGGGAAGCATTCAGCTGTACAGTCCTCGGGGTCACAGGACAGAAGCCCCCCACTCAGTCCCATCAGGTGTCTGACTGTGGGCAGGCAATTGCTACCCAGGACCGGGCCCCCTTCTCCCCACCATGGCCGCTTCCCCCGTGGACCCCTGACGCAAGGCCAAGGCCCGCGAGGAGGTTGAAAGGGAAGGACAGCCCTTCGGGCAGGAAGCGGTTTCTATCGCACCAGGTCCTGTGGCCTGAAGGGTTTCAGCTGCCGGGGAACCGGGAAAATGTCTATTTCCTTCATTATTCACCAAGAAAACTGATCAGAAATCCTTCCTGTGAGGCTGACACACCTGCCCAGTTACATCCTCCGGGTAGAAGGTGACCTGGAAACGGGCACACACGCCGACACACACGTGCGCACAGGCCCACACTCGCCACAGATGGTGGCGAGGAAGAGGCTGCCCGGGGCCTTGGTGCTGAGCAAGGTGGGCTCCGCCACTGGGACGTGGGCTGCAGCCCGTGTGTCCCTGGCACCCGTGTCACGGGGATTCCAACGCCCAGGCTGCGAAGTAATTTAGGGGTTAAGCCCAAGCTGGCTCTGTGCCCTGAGCACCTGGTTAATGCAAATACAAATCCTCTCTGGCGGAAGGAGCTTCACGTTAGGTCTCAACAAATCCCCACACACAACCCATGGGAGACAGTGCCTGGGAGGCTTCACACACAAAACTAGCACCCAATTCCACAGGACACCTTGACCAGAAATAAGAGCAGGAAACAAAAGGAGTAAAAAAGGAAATTAAAAGATACAGATTTCAAGTCGCTCACTTTATTAACTTTTAAAAGAAAAAAAGGCAGGGGAATGCCTGGGTGGCTCAGTGGGTTTGAGCACCCAACTCGTGATTTGGCTCAAGTCATGATCCCATGATTGGTGAGATCAAGCCCCATCTGGCAGAATATGGAGTCTGCTTGAGGTTCTCCCTCTCCCTCCCTCTCGCGGGCGCTCTCTTTATCTCTCTGCTTCTTAACCCCGCTCTAGTGATCTCTCTAAATAAATAAGTAAATAAACAAATTATTATTTAAAACGGGGGGAAAAGGACTATTTGAAATATGCTGAGAGCCTAAGAGAATACAAGAATGACCACAAAGGTGTGGGGGGAAAAAATAACAAAATACAAATTCTAGAGATAAATGTGTATACATATATACATTAATTATAAGAAAATTAAAATTATGAAAGCTTGCTGGGTGGGCTAAATACCCAACTGGAGCCAACTGAATAATTTTCATGAACTCTGTAAGCAGGTCTTAATTATCCAAAATCCAGAGAGAGAAAAGTAAAAGTGAGTGTAAGAGATCTGGAATTAGGGGCACCTGGGTGGCTTAGTCGGTTGAGCATCGGACTTTCATTTAGGTCATGATCTCGAGGTTCGTGGGTTCGAGCCCCGCGTCGGGCTCTGTGCTGACTGCCAGCTTGGAGCCTGGAGCCTATTTCAGATTCTGTGTCTCCCTCTCTCTCTGACCCTCCCCTGCTCACGCTGTCTCTCTCTCTCTCCTAGAAATAAATAAAAATCTTAAAAAAAAAAAAAGAGATCTGGAATTAGTAGCAACATTGTCTGAAATACGAATCTTGGCACCAGAAGGACAACCAGATGTGAGCTTTCAAAGATCATGGTTGAGGATGTTTTAGAGTTAGTGGATTACCTGTGTAATTAAAAATAAATAAAATAGAGTGAAAACTGATATAAAAAAGAGGGTCACTGCATCACACTGTGACCTAAGCCACATAAACTCCCACAAGAACTAGAAGGCTGATTACAACAAGGTTGTGCCTTCTAACCTGTTCTGAGAGGTGCCAGCCCACTGAAATACTGTTATAACTACTTGGTGGGGAAGATAATTGAGAAATTATTTACATGCCCTTTATATCTATCTGATTACTAAACTTTGTAATTTTAATCAATATTTAATGGACTGTCTTATTTTAATCAATATTTAATAGACTGTCTTGATTTTCAGTGCATATAATACTATCATTAGCAAATGAAAAAGTTTTATATTCTTTCCAATAACTTTATGTTAATTACATTATCATGTTATTGTATTAGCTAAAATCAGAAACTGTACGCTACATAGTGACGCTCTCAGTCATCACGGTCCTTTTTTTCTTTTTCATTGAAGTGCGTCCATGACATAAAAATTTGTTTGCTTGCTTGTATATGTGCATGTGAGTGTGTGTTGTGTGTGTGTGTGTAATCTGTATGTGTTGATTAGTTCCCTTCTAAAATTGTTTTAAGGCTTTTTATTAGAAATGATATATGAATTTTTGTCATTTGATGGAATCATGTGCTTTTTCTCCGTTAGCCTGCCGCAATGAGGTATAAGTAGATTTCCTAATGTTAATCTATACTTGCATTCCCAGCCCAAATCTGACTTGCTCATGTTATAGTATTGCCTTAAGTACCAGCTGCATACATTTTCATATTTTAGAGGGGACATTTTCCTCTACTCTAGTCATACATAAAATCATTCTATGATTTTCTCTTTTGGGTCTAGCCATCTCAAATTTTGTCATTAAGATCATGGTAACTTTCAAACCTCTAACTGTGGAACTCTCCTCTATTATCTACTGCTATGTAACAAACTACCCCAAACTCAACAGCTTCAATCCATGAACATTTCTTTTCTCATTTTGTTTCTGGGGGTCAGGAATCTAGAAGTGATTCGGGCTGGGTGGTTCGGCCCAGGGCCTCTCATGGGGCTGAAGTCAAGATGTACACCCAGGCTGTAGTCCCCTGAAGGCTTGACCCACAGCTGGAAGGTTCCCTCTTCCCTCCCAGAGCCGGCTCACTCCCCTGCTGCACACGTTCCAGCTGGCTGTCCCCGGAAGAACCCCAGTACCACCTCAGTTCCCTGCCACATGCACCTCTCCAGAGGGTAACTGAGTCTTCAAAATGTGGTAGCATTTCCCTTGCAGAAAGAGAAGTCAAGTAGAGGAATTAGCCACCAAGTCTCTGTGACCTAGTTTTGAATGTCACATGCTGTCATATCTGCCACTTTCTATGAATTAGAAGCAAGTCATTTCAGTGTGTCATTAAATCGGAAGGGGAACTAGGTTCCAGATCATCTTTCGAGGTGAGGATGCTACATTTGTGAACATATTGTGAAATCATCACATTTTTTGTGTGTGCTTTAAATACTTGATTATAACAAATATTTGTTATTTACAGAGTAGTCAGAAATCATCTAAACCTAATTCCTTTAGGTCGTTAAGAATTCCAGGAAGTCAGACTAAAATTGACCAATATCCACAGAGACAAAAGCCAATAAAATTTCCACATGATATCCTGATGGACTTTTGCTTGAGATTGTAGACCAAACAGTGGTCTCTGTAGTCAAATAAACCTAGCACATTGCCAGTGCATAGAGAAAATATTGACAGAATTGAGTGAATTCAACAGAGAAATTGTAAACAGCCATCTGTACAACAAATCTCTGGTTCGTGATGGTTGTAGGAATATCCAACAAAACTAGTAGATTTGGAAAAGATAAATTAAGAGAGAAAATAAATACAATAAAAAGGTAAAACCCCAAGCAGAGAACCAGCCTCTTCTCTGCTGTCGTGCTACCACTCCCTTTCAGTGTATTCAGTAAACATCTAACACCTTAAAAAAAAAAAAAAAAAAAACTGAGAAAATATTTTGGCTTATGAAAATATAAGAAATTAATGATTTAAAAACTACTACAAATTAATAAAATTTGAAAATGGACAAGGAGTAAAAGCTAAATTTGGTGATTTAAGAGATAGAATTTGAATTCATGATTGAGTCAGACTTACAAGTAACTTACAAAGTTTAAAGTGTAAGGTAACAGATTAAGAGGTAGTAGAAAGACATAAAGGAAGAAACTAAGAGCATAATTGTGTCATAAAGGCTGATAAGGAGACCCTTGACATGTGTCAAAATTCTTACTAAATTGTAGCATTGGCAATGGTTCAGAGTATTATCGTAAATCGGTTCAACAAGAGATAGTCATCGAACATCTTCGGTCAGACACAGGCACAGGCACTGGAAATATAAAGAGAGGTGAAGTTGTCCTTGACCTTCTGGAGACCTCAGGTTTGTAGACCATCAATGAAACTTATAGCTACTCCTTCAGTTTTCTGTTGTTATTATTATCATTCACTAAGACCTAAAAAAGTATTCATCGTTCTTTAGAAATCTGCTGCCAGGGGAATAGACTTGGGCTCCTATGGAAACTACAAAGCTCATTAAGACAAAACTTCATCTCAGTATTTGAGTACTAAACAGAATACAGTAATATGCCATTGTGACATAGTGCAAAGTTCAGTAACGGTCCCATAAGATTCTCCTCACGTCTGACACCAACTGCAACATTGAAGGGTCTCCAAAA